CTCTATTGTTGGCAGAACAAGAAAACCATCCTCTCCTTGTAAATATCACAGAGGGGTGAAGTGGAGAAGAGTTACCCCGTGGTGCTTGGGGTCACATCCCTGAAACAAAGAAGCATCATCTGCAACACAAAGAGAAACTTCCTTTTTATTGCATACATCACACTGGATCTTCATTCTCTGGTTAACTATTGATCAAGAAGAGAGGTGGAGGCTGAGGTCAAAGGGGACAGAAATGGGAGGATACCTTTGTTCAACTAAAATCAATTGCATTAATATCTTTCATCTTAAACATACTAAACTTAAATATGACTCCACTCTAAGTAAGACATGCATAATCTATTACATTCTACAATTAAAATAAATGGAGCATCTACATGAAATTAAAGTTGGGAAGAAATTAAATCATCGATCCACTTGTTGAGATAGCCCATGTGGGATTCAAACTCACATCTTCGTGTGGTCACACGATGCTCTTCCAATTGTGCTAATAATAGACTGTAAGAAAAATATGTAACTTTCCATCGCCAAAAGTTATCACATTATGTTTAAAAGTTGACTATTTTGATCATTTGATCAATTTAGTTATCATAGCTCTCTAAAGTTGCTAAAACTGATAAAAAGAAAATAGAACTAGTTTATACTTTATAGAAGGTCTAGTCTAAATCAAGTTGCTGCAACTTTTAAGATAAATTAGAGTGCAAGAACTTCTTACAAAATTTAGGACTAAACAGAATACTTCTACATGATATGATATGTGCAGGCTCTAAAGTTTCTAAAACTGATAAATTGTTGATATTATCTAGATAAATTATTTTTCAAACAGAATAAAATATACCTTCTTCATTAGTTGAAGCTTCCTCATTTCTCTCTGCATTGTTCTGCTTATCTATAAAAAGCAAAACAGAAATATCAAACTTTTATACAAAAACTTGAACTTTTAATAACTTAACTTCAACTTTTAAATAGAAGCATTTATTCTATACTCTTCACTATCCAAAGCTTTTATACTTGCATATAAAAGAGAACATAATATACCTTCTTCATTACTTGAAGATTCCTCATTTCCCTCTAAGTTCTGCTCATCTTTAAAAAGCCAAAAAAGAAATATCAAACTTCTAACTAAATATATTTAACTTTTAATTAGAAGTATTCATTATATACTCTTCATTATCCACAATTTTTGTAATTTCACTTTAAGGAAAATATTGTGCATAACATGTTTCCATTTTGTGCATACCTCTTCATTCCTTGAAGCTTCCATGTTTTTCCCATAGCATTGTTCTCCTCATCTCTAAAAAGCCAAAACAGAAATATCCAAACTTTTATATAAATAACTTGAACTTTTAACTAAATAATTCTAACTTTTAGTTAGAAGTAATTCTATCCTCTCCAGTACCCAAAGTTTTTGTAATTGCATATTACAGGAAATTTTATGTTTGTGCCTTGAGTTTCATATTACTTGAAAGAAAATTATTCTTAAAACACAACATAAGATAAAGCCTTGTTCATTCCATGCACCTTCCACATTTCTGTCTGCATTATTATGCTTGTCTATAAAAAGCCAAAACCGAAACATTCAAACTTTTATATAAATAACTTGAACCATTAATAAAATAATTCTAACTTTTAATTAGAAGAGTTCGTTCTATACTCTTCACTACCCACAGTTTTTGTAATTTCATATAAATGGAATTATTTGTGCCCTGAGTTTCATTATTTATAGAGAAATATTTTTAAACCACAACATAAGACACCTTCTTCATTTCTTGAAGCTTCCTCCTTTCCCTCTTGTTCTGCTCGTCTACAAAAAAACAAAACAGAAATATTCAAACTTTTATATAAATAACTTCAACTTTTAATATTGAACTTCAAACTTTTAATTAGAAATATTTCATTCTATACATTTCACTATCCACAGTTTTAGTAATTGCATATTAAGTGAATTAAGATACCTTTTTCATATCTTGTAGCTGTCTCATTGCCATCTTCGTTGTTCAACGTGTCTATATAAAAGATAAGCGGAAATATTAAACTTTTAAATAAATAACTTTAACTTTTAATATTTAAATATTAACTTTTAAATAGCAGTATGCATTCTATACCTTCTGCTCTCTCATTAGACACATTATGATTTTTGTTTATTTCAGTTGAAATTCGATACATGTTCTGCTTCTCTCTTTGTGTGCCTAGTCTTGTTCTACCAAACTTTTGCTTGATGAGACCCCAATTTGCATGTCCTTCATTATTGATTATAATATTTAAATATGTTAAATATGATTCCTTATCATAGATTTTTAATCGTGATTCCTTATTATAGTTAAAATTTACTAATCAAAATTAGAAAAATAAAAATTCAATTACCTTTCTCAACAACAATAATGCTTCAACAGGCTTCTGCAATGAAACATCTTCACATTCTTCCTCAATGAACTCCAACTTTTTTTTAGTTTTTTTCTTGGAAGTTTCATTCACTCCATTTGAGACCCTTAACCAATTAATCAAACTATATTGCTCAAACAATAAGTTTTTTTTTTTTTTTTTTATCCCGGAAGGCAAACCACCAAAATCAGTGGGGCAAATGCCGGGAGTCAGATGCTCAAACAATAAGTTCTAATTGTAAAATCAATCAATTACTCAAATACATGTGATTATAAATATAAAATTAAAACCAGATTTCCTCACAAATTAACTATAATCAGCTTCAACAAATCTTGATGAAAATCTATAAGTTAACCTAAATCGGCTACTTGGAATGCATGAAAATCTATATGTTAACCTAAATCTGCATTTAGAAATTGAATGAGAGAAGTTTATGGATGAAGTCGAAGTTTATCGAATTTCGTAAAATTACCTTTGAAGATACACACAGAAATTCGGAGAAATCTAACACAACTTCGATGATGTCTGATTCCAGTTCATTCAAGTTCGTAGAAATATGACAAAACTTCGGTGGAGTGCGATCGATTCAAGTTCAGAGAAGCACAACTTCGGTGGAGTCCGGTTGATTCACGTTCGTCGAACTCCCAACAAGATCTCCGAGCTGATTGCGAGAGATTGAAAGTTCTTCTTGAGTTGTTCTGTCTCGGTTGTTGAGCGATTGCAGAAAAGAACTTGCGGCTTCTAAAGTTTATGGCCATTAGACTATTTTGTTTTAATTTTATATAACAACCGTAGATTACATTTAATCTAACGATCATGGTGACTTCTCACTTTTCAGCCTTAGAAGGCTTCTCAACAGATCTACTCTCTCTCTCTCTCTCTCTCTCTCTCTCTCTATATATATATATATATATATAGATTTTGGTTCAAGTGAGAAATGCATCTAATGTGAGAAATGAGAATGAATCTCAACCGTTAGATTTATGATATTGCACTAAAAATAGCTTAATGTTGCGGTAAGATTTAAATTTGGAAATGATGCACTGAAACTGTTTCATGTTGCACTAATATTTGACGATGTTGCACCAAAACTGCTTCATGTTGCACTAGACGACTGTAATACGAATTTTTTCAGAAAATGCCACCAAACTAGATTGCATATTGTAGTGCAATATCAAGTGTATTTGTATTTGTATTTGTATTTGTATTTGTATTTGTATTTGTATTTGTATTTGTATTTGTATTTGTATTTGTATTTGTATTTGTATTTGTATTTGTATTTGTATTTGTATTTGTATTTGTATTTGTATTTGTATTTGTATTTGTATTTGTATTTGTATTTGTATTTGTATTTGTATTTGTATTTGTATTTGTATTTGTATTTGTATTTGTATTTGTATTTGTATTTGTATTTGTATTTGTATTTGTATTTGTATTTGTATTTGTATTTGTATTTGTATTTGTATTTGTATTTGTATTTGTATTTGTATTTGTATTTGTATTTGTATTTGTATTTGTATTTGTATTTGTATTTGTATTTGTATTTGTATTTGTATTTGTATTTGTATTTGTATTTGTATTTGTATTTGTATTTGTATTTGTATTTGTATTTGTATTTGTATTTGTATTTGTATTTGTATTTGTATTTGTATTTGTATTTGTATTTGTATTTGTATTTGTATTTGTATTTGTATTTGTATTTGTATTTGTATTTGTATTTGTATTTGTATTTGTATTTGTATTTGTATTTGTATTTGTATTTGTATTTGTATTTGTATTTGTATTTGTATTTGTATTTGTATTTGTATTTGTATTTGTATTTGTATTTGTATTTGTATTTGTATTTGTATTTGTATTTGTATTTGTATTTGTATTTGTATTTGTATTTGTATTTGTATTTGTATTTGTATTTGTATTTGTATTTGTATTTGTATTTGTATTTGTATTTGTATTTGTATTTGTATTTGTATTTGTATTTGTATTTGTATTTGTATTTGTATTTGTATTTGTATTTGTATTTGTATTTGTATTTGTATTTGTATTTGTATTTGTATTTGTATTTGTATTTGTATTTGTATTTGTATTTGTATTTGTATTTGTATTTGTATTTGTATTTGTATTTGTATTTGTATTTGTGTAAATGCCTCTATTCTCCTTTGGATGCTTAGACTTTATTACGTAAGGCTGCACTCCTTATCAAGGCTAGGTAGCTTAGCCTACGTGTTACTAAGTGGTAAATTGGTCTAAATACAAGATTAGCCATATTAGACAACTAAAGCTATTATAACAAAGACACAAAATTAGACACAACTAAAATGCCCCAACAGAGCTTAATTTTGAAATTGCAATGATAGATTGGAATTTCACTCAATAATTCTATATTTTGATGTGCAGGTCAAGAGGAGGTCAGTTATCACCCATATTGTACAACATAATTTACTAATCAAGGTAACTAGTTTTTTTTTATTTCATTTCATAATGAACTGCAAATGCACATGTATTACATCATAATCATATAATTTTCTCACATGTTCGAATGCATGGCTACTATAATAGTTGATGTTAGTAACAATCTCTAAAATAAAATGTGATAATTATAAGGTAGACAAATGGTGCGCATGATTAAACATAGTCTTCTCATTACTTGTAAAAAGTTATGCATATTTTCTAACCCAAACATGCTACAAGTTCAATGAAGTCCTACATAGATATTCAACATATTCGATATAATTTTCAAATCCTCTTTCCCTTGTGCTTTTCCTTGATTACACACTTACACACAAAGCTTACATTGTCATGTGTGCAAATACTTACGGAGTATTTTACATCATACCAATCACAATCAAACTTAGTACTCATGCTAAACTATGTGTACTCCATTTTTAGTAATTTCGTTTATTTCATCATTATTGTAGATTGTGAAACTTTTCAAAGGTAGAGATGAAAAGGCAACCGTGGAGTGATGAGAACTTGCAGGGGAATCTCCTTTGCAGCACCTAGTCCAATAGCTTCGGACATGTCAATGAGGTCACTTGAAGGCCTTCTCACATCAAATCTGTGAACAATGTTAGCCAATCCTAATTGCACACTTTCAATCCCAAAAGAAATTCCTGGACATATTCTCCTTCCACTTCCGAAGGGAATTAGTTCCAAGTGTTTGCCTCTCACATCAATTTCCTTGTGTTGATTTGTCAAGAATCTCTCTGGTTTGAATATGTCGGGATCCATCCAATAGCTTGGGTCACGATGAATCTTTGACACATTTACCAATAAACGTGTGCCCTTGAAGACAAAGTAGTTGTCAATCGTGCAATCTTGTAGAGCCTCATGGGGTAGCAAGAGGGGTCCTGGTGGATGCAAACGCAATGTTTCTTTGACTACAGCTTGAAGATAAATCAAATTGTTTATATCAGCGTCGTTGACTAGCCTTTCTCTCCCAACATGCATGTCCAGTTCGTCTCGAATCTTTTTCAATACGTCCTCATTATTCAAGACCAAAGACAAAGCCCATGTCAATGAATTTGCAGTTGTATCTGTACCCGCTGCCAACAATGTCTGAAATGAAACTTAAACACGAGGTGTTATATGGTATAACTCAACTCGAAAATGAAATAAAATTCAATTATCTACTCATTAAACAAATCAGTTGCACCTCAAACGTCAAACGAAATGTTAGAATGATATTGAGAGTCGTAACAAGTTGTTTTAGTGAAAATTTGATCAACAATTGTTTAACATTTGTGTAAATGAATCACACTTTCTTTTGTGGTCAAAGAGAGTATACGGTGGCCGCCGAGTGACAGTCCGGCGATCCAGCGACCAGCGGCGGCGGCGGAAGGCGCTGGTTGTAGGTCTACTCGTCGCCGATGCGGCGGAGAAGGTGGAAGACCCTGGTTGTACGGCTACTCGCAGTGCTCGCTGGGCATGGAATCCCTTTTTCATCTCCTCCTTTTTTCAATTGCAGAAACATACGATCCAATCCTGATAGGGGTTTTAATAACCTTGGCATCTATTCTCATCCTATCCACCACCCATTTTATCCACTGCAAGAAGAAACGATCCCGGAATCTCCCCAGACAACTTCAGATGGCAGGTGATCGACGAATCGCTGGAGTTCCTCCGCTTAAGACGGGAAGGGGCGCCGGAGAGATTCGTGACGGGCAGATTTTTCTATCCACTTAAAAATTTAGTTTGATTTTTGTTTCAGTTTATTTCTCAAATTTTCTAGATCTACATTCAACCTCTTTTGCTTTTTCCTTTTTCCGTTTTGTTCTGGATTTTTTTTCCTCTCTGTACTTTTGATGTCTACTGTTATAAGCTTATTCCTTTTCATTTTACTTCAAATAAAAAAAAAGAATCACACTTTCTTGTTGCCGTAAACAATACATTCCATGAATTATAAAGCATATATAAAAGAGAAAATTTTAAGGAGCATGTTACGGGCTCCTTATTGAGCACATAAATAATACATTCATCTGGAAAGAACTTTCAATCTATATAACAATTCTGAAATGTACATGTGAATATCTTTCCAGTCACTGACTAAAGTGAATTGCTACCATCGATTTTACGGCGGTCTGACCTAGATGAGTGTGCCTGCGGCTGTGGAGGGGGGGTCGCCTTCCCCTCCACCGGTGAAGAATGTCTGGGGGTCTAAATCTTTTGCATCGGTTGTTAGTGGCTCGGAAGATCCACCTTTTTCTAAGAAGACTATCCACCTTTTTTAAGGGCCGCCGTAAAATCGATGGTAGCAATTTAGAACTCTTATATTTCAAATTGAATGTATTAAATCACTCGATGTCTCTCATAAAATCTAATTCTTGATCTAAACAAATATGTGTGTGTGTTGAAAGTGTTAATAAAATGTTTTCATTAACATTTGAGATAATAAAATTGGGTGCAAACTCAAATTGCCCCAAAATTTACAGTATGGTGGACCAATCTGAAGATTCACTCTTCCTAGTTTTAGTACTTGAGATAAACTTCTCTTTAATGTTTTATTATGCCATTGGCTTTGAGGTATTCTACAATGCATTGCTTTCACGCTTTGCTAAAAAAAGTGTTAATCCACAATCATGACTAGGGTTGATTAAAAGATTTTGTTGGATTGTTGTAAAAATGAACCTTATTGCCCCTACAATTTAGAAAGTGAATTTACTGGAACAGGATGATGTGTACAGTAATATATGTGTGTGTGTGTTTGTGTATATAAATATATATATATATAGAGAGAGAGAGTCCCGTTCGAGTCAGGCCGGCCTGATCGGAAGGCCCGTGCGGCCTTCCTTTTTTGGGTGCCTTCCCGATGGAATTTTTTGATGACATTTTTTGAGCATGTTCCTCATCAAGTCTAGTTTATCCATACCAAATTAGAGCTCAAAATTTGACCGGGAAGGCAGCCAAATAAATTCTTGAAACATACTGCACTTTATATATGGGCAGAATGTCCAGTATGTTTCAAGAATTTATTTGACTATCTTCCCGATCGAATTTTGAGCTGAAATTTGGTATGGATAAACTAGACTTGATGAGGAACATGCTCAAAATATTTCATCAAAAAGTTCCACCTGGAAGGCCCTTAAACGGGGGAGACCGCACATGGCTGTCCGATCAGGCCGCCTGACTCGAACAGCCCTCTATGTGTGTGTGTGTGTAGGGAGCGGATCAGGTGAGAAGTTCTCTTAGGCTGAGAACTGTGAAGTTAAACTTATAGACTAAATATAGGAACTTCTAACCAATAAATCATAACTTATAGACCCCTCGAAAATAATTACGAAAATGCCACCGCAAAAAAATAATTACGGAAACCTGGAAACATTTTTGACGCGTTGACATTTTCGTAATTATTATGGAGAACTTTATAATTACGTTATAATTTATTAGTTATAAGTTCCTATATTTAGTCTATAATATAGTGCTAACTTGAAATAGATACATTTAGAAAAAAGAAGCTTCTAGGGTCACTTCAAAAAATAGCATTATATTACAGGGTTGTGTGTTACATATAGAGATAATTATCCTACTTATGACAAAAACTCATTCAGTTTTTCAATATGTGACTTAAGCAGTTTTTTCTCAAAATAATACTCCCTCCGTTCCAATATAAAAGGCACACTTTCCTTTTCGGTCCGTCCCAATATAAAAAGCACATTTCCCTTTTTGGCAAACAAAACAGTGCCAAACAGTGCCAAACAGTGTCCAAACACTGCCAAACAGTGTCTAAACAGTGCCAAACAGTGTTCAAACAGTGTTCACCCTTAAAATGTCTAGAAACGCAAATGTGCCTTTTATATTGGGACGGAGGGAGTATTATAATTCATAATATTTAATTAAAATTCGTAATTAATAAATAATAATTAATTTTTATAGACAAATATACCCTTTAGTTTATACCCATAAAACCCTAACCTCCTACCCATTTTTTACAACCCTAGCTACAACCTCCCAACACCCACAGTACAGCCACCCCGCCGTCCAGCCGCCGCCCTCCATCCAGCCGTCGACCGCTGTCTAGTGCCACCGCCGTCCAGATCCGCCGCGGTGGAGCACAGTCGCCAAGCCAGAAGTAACGTGGCTTGCAGCTGGGCCAGTTCTAAGCTAGACTTGGGTCCCAAGGCGTCGATCAGAAGCCAGCTCTCCAGTCGCCCACCGTCCTGCCGCCCGCCGTTCCTCATCCCCGTCCAAGATCTGTGCAAAGATCGGTCTTTTTCGTTCCGCTTTCTTTACCCACTAACCTCTTCTTTACCCCCCCAATACCCTCTCACCTATATGATGATGACAACTTTTATGTTGAAAGAGAAATAGTAGTAGTAGGGAGCAATTGATGAAAACTGAAAAGTCTGAACACTCATGCTTCGGTCAGCGTGCTTATGATACAAGATGAGTTATGTGAAATTGGGTTTGTAGCATATTTTGTTTCTAAAATTAATTGGGTTTGTAGCATATTTTGTTTCTAAAGTCCGTGGACATTAAATATGAACAGTGAATATGACAATATACATGTTGTAGATAACAGTAAATATGACAATAAATATGTTGTACATGACAGTGAATGAATGCATTAAGGCAGTTTGTTGTGCATTGATTTATAACTGGTAATGCAGTAAGACAAAGCAGTAATTTTGATATGAAACGCAATATACTTAATTAGACGTAAAATGATAAAATTATTAAATCTAAAAAAATAAAAACAAAAACTATATACAAATTTTTAAAGTGAATGAGAAGTGAATTAATTTTGGTGGAAGTGCAGTGATTATTATCAGATGTGCATTAATGTTGTGCAGTAATGTCGTGCAATGACGAAAATATAAAGTACAGCAATTTTAATAGGACGAAATTAGTGGAAAATGCACATATTTTAAATAAGGATATTTTCTTCATTCAACATTTTAGTAAAACTACGTACCGTGCATGTTGATTTGATAACTGTGTCAGCATCAAAACCATTTGCAATTTCTTTGCTGCCATCGAAGTGGGAAATCAGTGCATCCATGAAGTCTTCTTCCTCCTTCGGTTTCTCACCCTTTTCCCTCTTGTGTGCTTGAAGCAGGCCTTCCATGAGATCTTCCATCTCTTTGTTAGACTCCTTCATGGCCTTCTCATATCCTCCAATGTCCATCCACCTCAGCCACGGCAGGAAATCACCTGCCACCAACGCACCCATAAGCTTAAAGAATCTCTCCACCCTCTCCGCCGCCCGCCTCCATTCCTCCTCATCCAGCTGCCCAATCAGTACCTGGAACATAATCCCGGTGACTAATTTCCAGCACCACTCCTTCATGTCAAGCATCACGGCGGCACCACCGGGCTGGCCTTTCTCGTCGGCCGCCAGCCAGCTCCGGTGGATGTCCCGGGAGAACGTTTTCAGCGCGGTTTGCCTGACGCGCCGGAGCGCGTCGAGGCGGCGGCTGGACAGCAGCTCCAGCACGACGACCTTGCGGACTTCCCGCCAAAGCGGGCCGGCCGGAGCGAGCCCGAAGCTAGCGTAGTTGGAGCCCAAGATCTCGGTGGAAATGGACTTGGGCCGGCCCGCGAGAGCCGCGTCGTTGACGGTGAAGCACTCTTTGGCGATCCGGGAGTTGCTCACCACCACGACTTCACGCGGGCCGAGCCTCAGCCGGAATATCGGGCCGTATTTGTCGGCCATGTCGGAGAGGATGTGGTGAGTGGGCCGTTTGTTGGCGGCGAAGAGGTGGAAATGGCCGATTATGGGCCATGCAAAGCCGGCTTCGGGCACTTTTCGGCCCACATATTTGTTTTGACGGAAAATTTTCTGGGTAAAGGCGATTAGTAGAAAAGTGGTGGCGAAGGCCGCCGGCACAAGGATGAGCAAAGGAGGAGGGATTTCCATTATTGTTAATTTAGTCTTAGTTAATGCGTTCCTGCAATGAGTCGAATTTATGCTTGAATTTCTGGATGTGCATGGCAACTATACGGTGGTTGTTAACCGTACAATTTGGACTTAGAAATCGTGACTATGACCTTCATTGTCATGCACGAGTCTACCAGTACGTGGTCCTAAATGGGGGGCTTATGCTGAAAATTACACTAAACACTTGACAAGAAAAAAAAGTCCCTTAATACTTTTCATATTTCATTAATTAATTTTTTACTCTGTATATTTGACCACACGAAAAAATGTTAGAGAGACTGAGAGAGTCTTCGACCACCGAGTCTTCGACAACCCCTTTCATTTAAGGGTTATTTACTATAATATGACTAAAACTCAATGAGTTTCTCGATCTATGACCTACCTAATTTTTATACTTTTGTATGATAAAAAATCCAAAAACAAATAAAAAATTCGTTTATATTTAAATGTTGAATGACAAACATACTCTTATTTAAAATATGTGCATTTTGCACTAGTTTCGTCCAATTAAAATTACTGCACTTTGTATTGTCCTTAATGCACAAAATTAATACATGACTTTACTGCACGTCCGGTAATAATCACTGCACTTCCCCTAAAATTAAATCTCTTCTCATTCACTTTAGCAAATTATTTATAGGTTTATTTTTTATTTTTTTAGTTTTAATAATTTTATTAAAACTAAAAAAATGAAACCTTTGCATGACAATCTCCTCTTTAGTTCAATGAAACCTTTCTCACATTTGTCATCCCATACAAACTTAGCTCCCTTACGAGTGAGTTTCGTCAATGGTGATGCCAAAATGGAGAACTTCTCCACGAACTTTCTGTAGTAGCCTGCCAACCCAAGGAAACTACGAATTTCCTTGACGTTCCTTGGCCTCTCCCATTCGGTAATGGCTTCTATCTTCTTGTTATCAACCGCAATTCCCGATCCCGAAACCACATGCCCGAGAAAGCCAATCTCCTTTAGCCAAAATTCACATTTAGAAAATTTGGCGTAGAGTTGCTTCTCCCGTAGCGTCTCGAGAACAAGTATCAAGTGCTCCTCATGCTCTTCTTCACTCTTTGAGTAAATCAAGATGTCATCTATGAACACAATCACGAATCGGTCCAAGTATTGATGGAATACTCGGTTCATCAAGTCCATGAATGCCGCGGGGGCGTTTGTTAACCCGAACGACATGACAAGGAACTCAAAATGCCCATACCTTGTGCGGAAAGCACTTTTTGGTATGTCATCTTCCTTGATCTTCAATTGATGGTACCCCGACCTCAAGTCAATCTTTGAAAATACAGTTGCTCCTCGGAGTTGATCGAACAAGTCATCAATCCTAGGCAAAGGATACCTATTCTTGATTGTGACCTTGTTCAGTTGACGATAGTCGATACACATTCGAAGTGTCCCATCTTTCTTTTTCACGAAAAGAACCGGTGCTCCCCACGGGGAGTGACTTGGTCTAATGAAGCCGTTGTCCAAAAGCTCTTGTAATTGGGTTTTCAACTCGTTAAGTTCAGCGGGTGCCATACGGTATGGCGGTATAGAGATTGGTTTGGTGCCGGGCTCAACCTCGATCACGAACTCAATCTCCCTATCGGGTGGGAGTCCCGGTAAATCTTTTGGAAAGACATCCGGATACTTGCACACCACCCTCACATCATCAATGCTCGTCTCTTCCTTTGTTTTGTCTACCACATATGCTAAATATGCGTGGCAACCCTTTCTCATCATACTCCTAGCTCTCACGGCGGATATGATGCAACTATTGGATTTGGCCCGATCCCCCTCGAAGCGTAAGGTTACTCCTTCATCGCCTTCGAGTTCAAGTATCTTTGTGTAGCAATCGGCCCTAGCATGATGCTTCTCAAGCCAATCCATCCCCAGGATTGCATCGAATTCAATCATACTCAGCGGTACGAAGTCACACGTCAAGCTTTGGCCCTCCACTTCCACCTCACACGATGGATAGTGGCTATCTCTCTCGATGTCTTCCCCTAGAGGTGTGGATACCAATAGGGCTTGAGCCATCGACACAAGTGGTTCTTTGAATTCCCCGGCAAACGCCTCACTCACGAATGATCGTTGCGCCCCAGTGTCAATAAGGATTCTTGCGTCTCTCCCGTTAATCTTTAGTGTTCCTACATTCATAAGCAATGTAAGACACACTCCCCACTTATTAGACTCATTTCTTAGGTTATAGAGTACCTCAGCTATGGTTTGGATGGCCGTCATCTAACGCCCCAACCCAATTCCATCCCGGTTCCCACCTAAAAATCAACACCGTGCCCCAATAAGGGAAAGCCGGCCGCTTTTCATGAAAGCCGGCCGGTTTTCGCACCTTGGCCTTCGGCTCGGAAGGAATGGTTACGTAAGCCGGCCGGTTTTTGCCAAAGCCGGCCGGTTTTTCATCGTCGAACGTTTAATTGATTTAATTCCCATGAAAGACGGCCGGTTTTCATGAACGTCGGGCGACGTTCGTCGCCGTAGAATTTCAATTTTTTTTTTTAAAGCCGGCCGGTTCTTACGAATGCCGGCCGGTTTTCATTAGCAACGCCTCACACCGGAGACGCCTGAACACAAGCCGGCCGGTTTTTACAAAACTCGGCCGGTTTTTGTCTGCCGAAAGATTTTAGGAAAAATCAAGTCCGAAAGCCGGGCGGCTTTCGTCAAAGTCGGGCGCCTATCGTCGCCGTAGAATTTTGCAAATAATTCGAAGGCGAAAGCCGGGCGGCTTCCGTCAATGCCGGGCGGCATCCGTCCCAGGTGGATATTCATCCACTTCTTCGAACTTGCACATCCCCGGTTGGCTATACAACGTGTACATTTCAACACTTATATTGTTTACAAAGGAATAACATCAAAAGTTCAAGAATTTACCCGCGACGGAGTCCGGGTTAGCACGTGCATCGGCTTCCGTAATCGCATAGACCCTCGCTTGGGTCCTCCCTTGATTAACGGACGGTGCATTGCTTGTGCTAGCTCCACCGTGCCCCGTGTTTGCATGAGGTGCCGCTGTCCGGTTCCTGCTCATCGTGGTCCCACCACTCGGCCCGGCACTCACGGCTCGCCCAAGTTGTGGGCAACTCGACCTCATGTGCTCCGTATCGCCACATTGATAGCACCTCGGGGGATCACGACACCTGCCCACGTGGTTCCTCTTGCAATTCTTGCATTTGGGCGCTGTTGAGGCTTGTGATCCCGAGTGTTGTCCACTCATTCCCGGGTTTCCTCTTGATGGCGGTGCAGGGGTCCTAAATGAGCTCCCTCCCCTGTGGTTCCCCTTCTTATTGGAACCTTGGGGGCCTTGGTTCTCCCATTTTCTTTTCTTTGCCTCCTCGACATTTCTTCGCTTTCTTTCTTCCCATTCTTTCTCCCCCTTCAAGCCCTGCTCAACAACTTGACTAAACGTCATATTAGGCAATTGTGTTGCCCTCTCACGTATGTCAAGGTCCAAGGCATCCCAGAAGTGGTTCACCATTCGGTTTTCATCGCATGCATATTCCGGTATGAACTCGGCAAGCTCTCGGAATTTGTGCTCAAGTTGCCTCACAGTATACTTGCCTCCTTGGGTCAAGTTGGTGTATTCTCTCCTTTTCAAGTTCACCTCGAAATCGGAGTAGTATTGATTGAAGAATTCTTGGCGGAAGTTCTCCCAAGTGACTGTCTCACCATACTTCCTTTTAACACCGTCCCACCACGTGGACGCCATTCCCTCTAGCAACCTCGTTACCACTCTCAACTTCATGATCGGCGGCAGCTCCATGTCAAGAGCCGCTTCGTTGAATCTCTTGATCCACTCGGCCGCAATGGAGATGTCTCCCGTTCCATCAAACGGTTTACACCCCAAATCTCTTGCTTCCTTGAGGTACTTTGAGATCCTTATTATCGGGACCTCGGTACCTCGATCATTCCGGGACTCTACATGTCCCCTGGAACCCACACGACTTCCTCCCCTGGAAGCCCCTCCCAAAGCTCGCCTTGCCCGGCGCCTTTGGCGATCCTGTTGGTACTGACGGAGCAGCTCCTCCATCCTTTCTAGAGCGTCATCATCGTCGCTCTCACCATCATCGTCATCATATTCCCCATCATATGGGGTCTCAACCGGTTCGGTTCCCGGTTGATACGTCGAATCCTCCTCGGAATCGTATTGTTCATCGATTGTCTCCACATGACCGTCACTCACCGTTAACGAGTGACCCGCACGGCCCTGCCCGCGAGACGCCCTCGATGCCCCCCGACTGCCATGTTGGGATCCCCCCGGTGCCTGGCCAGTCGGGTTTCTTCGAGTGACTTTACCGGTACGTTCCATTTCTGAAAGAGGTAGAGATTGAGTCATTAGACCCGTATCAAATGTCAAATGACGGATAGGCACTTAAAGACATCCTTTGGCTCAAATCGCCGCCATGCCAATTGTTAAGGGTACCATCTTAACAATTAGAGACCTTGCAACTCAAGTACCAAAAGTTCTATAAGTACAAAACTTTATGCTCATGGTTTTCAAAATCATTTTCAAAAAGAATTTTGAAGCCTCATTATGAAGTTTACGGACTAAGGCTCTGATACCAATTAAATTGTCACGCCCCGGACCTACCGGACACGTCAACAACCCGCCGTACAGTACGAATAGTCAACCGCAGTCCAACTCATCCATACTATACTAGGCGTCTTGAATATCATTCACAATAGTACATCCATAAACAATCATAATGTAAAATATTTAATTAAGCAGCGGAAATAGTAGATACAAGCATTCGAGCCACACGTGGCAAACACGGGCATACAAGCCCTAAATAATTATTCGGGAAATAGTATCCATGAGCAATAATTTAAATGTTTTAATATAGGAACGGAGGAAGCACGAACCACGTCTCCTCTCCTTGATAATCCGCCCGAAGCAACGGTGATGGTAGCAACCTTCAAGTTCTACCTGAAACTGTGAGGTGGCCTCCCCCGTGAAGGGGAGGTCAGTACTTGGAAGCATTTGACAAGTACAATGACAACTATA